CGATGGAGGCGTCGTGGCGCTTAGCGGGCCTCGCATTGCCAACGAACGCGCCGTCAATCGACACCGACACCCGCTGTATCAGGTACCGCGACCAGGCGAGAATTCTGCGCAAGAACAGGTGGTAAACTTAGTTTAGCGAAGGAGGGCGGGGTGTAATTTGCGAATCAAATCTGCACGCCACAAACCAAAAGCTACTTAAAATGACAGTTGGTGAGTAAATACAATAATACCACGTAGGGTCGTGATGACACAGACTTCATTTCCATTCAAAGCACACCACCGACGAACTGCCACCAATACCACATTCTGTAGATCTCTGTCGCCATCTTCGCCAGATGCATCTCAATCTACAAGACACCGTGATTTTTCTTCAAAATCTTGATTCTTAACATCCAAGTATGCGCTTCTGAGATCGGACCAACACAATAACTCTGAAGATTGACAATGGTTTCGCGATTGCAATCAGTTGGAGGTCGGTTGGCAGATCGTGCAAGGTGAACCATGTAGTATCGGTACCGTGCGAGTCGCGATCCCATTAATTTCGAACTGGATCGCTGTCGTTTTCTGCAGCAGGTGCATCTCAACCTTCAAGACGATACTTACCGCCACCCGCGAAAAGGATCTCATCGATTGGGTGTTTGATTCAGCTTTCCTCAAAAGCGTGCGTTGCCACGGCAATAAGACCTTATCTCGAAGGCTAACTCTGATCACCTTAGCGGTGTGACATGGCTTCTACACCGGCTACTAACTCAACCTCTTCCTCCTGGAAAACGAGTGTAGTAGTTGTCCACTTTCTGGAACAACATTCTGTTATTTCCCCATGCTGATTTGATTTTACTTAAAAAATTGCATCAACTACCTATTAGGCAACCGTCATGCCATAATCTCGCCTTGCAAATGTTGGAAATCACCTGGGTGTTTATTTTGAAAATTCACACCGAAACCCAAACCTGATTGGACGCGCACTGACCAATCAGAGCAATGACCTTGTGCAGTGGTGTTTTCGAGGCAACTACGAGCACATCCACCAGAATGATGATTATCAAAACAGATTTTAATGGCAATATTCGAGCGAACTCCTATTGACAACCGACATACCGAATGTGAGTAGATTTGAGGATTCGTTCAGTTGGCTCCTTGCTCGGCAACAAGAAGCCAGCGTCCTTGGGATTGGTGATTAAAACAAGCGGCCAGTCGTCGCTGTCGCGCTTGTGCATCTGGGCGTCCACGAAGGACACCAAGTCGTTGTCAACAGCGACGATCCGGAAGCTGTCAAAGTAATCAGTAACCGTTACTCACACAACTCCGACAACTGGTTCATGAGACAGCCAGTTAGAGCATTCCAAAGAGGTAATAGATAAAGCAAGACTGAAAATAAAAGAATCGAATAACTACTAACGCGGAGTGAGTCAATGAGAAAGAAGGCAACAACAGTGACAGCAAGTCTACCTACCTACCCAACGAACCAAGGGCTGTTTCACGCTATCTAGCCAAGATTGACGCACACACATTATTGAACATTCCGGATCGCATTTTATTCCTTACTTACGAGGGCCATGATAAGTAGAGCAGCATTGTTCACATGGGTTAAGCGAGAACACTGCAATCCCGAACAAAGGGAGCGCGGAATTGAATTGTAAGACATTTGAAATTCTAGACAGCCCGAAGGGAGGCACTGTCCGGAGGGCAACAACTACTCAACGCAAACTCACAATCTGCCGCCCCGCCAATCAGCAAGTTCTAGCTCCAGGAAGCCCTGTGGCTGCACGGTGTACATATTTGGCATTAGATTCAGCGGATTGTGCAAATGACCGCAGAAGTAGCTGTGAGCCGTCTTGCTAGATTCCAAAGACAAAAACAGGTTAAGGGGGAGGCGGGGCTGAAACTGCAGTGAAGGGACGCGAATGAACTGGTTGCACGGTGACAGACAGCAGACAACTCACCCGATTAGACTGCGAAGATCGTAGCCGGGTGAAATTATCGTGGATGTGGGATAGTGGCTAAACCAAAAGGTTTGGTTGCTGTCGAAGGCCTTGAGGGAAAAGGACTGCAGAGACTTGGCGAGATCCTGCAAAGGAACAGCTTGATTTCTGAAACAACGCTTGCTGTTCGGAAGACAATTTATGGTGTTAAAATCACTGTGAGCATTATAGGTGGGAATGAAGCCGAGGAAACTGGGGAGCGGTATTACTAAAAGCGCGAAAGATATCTAAATAGGTTCTACGGTTAAATACTGCTAAGAATACATCGACTATCTCAACCAGGTAACTGCTGCAGAGTTGCTTGCTTCACTAAAAATCAAGCATAAAACCTGTCGAAAAGTAGCCGTGCGGTAGAGTAAGAGTATAATACGTCGAATCAAATGTAGGCCATTTAGGCAATACCTTCAATCTCCGAGCATCCAATTTCACAAAAAGGCTACTTTCGTAACGAAAATAAGACCCTCCCTCGTGAAGAGGTCACCAGTTCACAATTAATGAGGAGCATTCGCACGATTTTTACTGCTTATTGCGTGAGTTCTACCATGCGATTAAATGTACAACTCTAAGGCAAATGACAATTTAAAATCCCCAAAGCTTCATATTCATTAGCAAAAAAAAGCATCATAAAGAGGGACAACTAAAGTCACAGCACTCACCGCGGTTATGAGGCCGAAAAAGTTGTGTGGACGTTTTATTCCCGGGGTCATACAAGCGTCCACGGCTATGAAAGTGTACATGCCAAACGATTTGCGGTGGTTGATCATGTAAGATTGCGTAAAATTGGGGCCATGAGCTGAATATCGGCTGCAAAAAAGGAAACCAAAATTACTGCAACGCAAAACAGCATTACTAAGGTTTAAGGGAATATTCAAGTGTAGTTCATTCAAGTGATACTACAATTCACACGGAGCCTAAACGAATCAGCTAGAGAAATCAACAAAGATATAAATCAAAATGGTTCGTGAAGACACTTGAATAAATAAAAGCCTTACC